AGAGTCCAGGGACGTACCGCTTTCAGAGCGATCACGTCGGGGTCACCACTTGTAGTGATCCGGTTCCCATGAAACACAAGACACAGGGCTGTCTGCAAAAGTGAGAACCTCGAGTATCATCGTAAGCTCTCTTTTATTGAAATTTTACACAAAGACCTCACTCTCAAGGAGGAAATAACAACCTTCTGGTTAGCTATTTACTAGACACAGACACAGATAACATTTATTTGTACTTCGTACGTGTTCCAACTGCCAAGGCAGTCTGCACGTACTTATACAATACACAAAGTCAAAATACTAATTAAACATGAGGTAGCTTTGGTTAATCTCCACAGGGAGCTATGGGACCTGGAGTCCCTCCTGACGCCTTTCCTCCTCCTCCTCCTCCCCCTCCCCCCCACAGTCCATTTCCTGTACCAGGGGAAGTGCGAGTGCCGTTTCCTCAACGGGACGTGGCAGGTGCGATACCTGCAGCGCTACATCTACGACCGGCAGGAGTATCTCCGCTTCGACAGCGACCGCGGGGAGTTCGAGGCCGTCACGGCGTTGGGGAAGGTGACTGCCCAGGCTTGGAACAGGGATAAGCACAAGCTACAGTACCGGAAGGCCAAAGTGAATCGCTTCTGCCAAAACAACTACGAGGCTTTCCAGGGCAGCCCCGTGATTGGCCGGAGAGGTGAGTGCAGGAGGAGGCGTTCCATGGGGGGGGGCAAATGCAGGGACCCCCCCTTTCATTTCATTCATTAGGACTCTCCCGGATAAAGATTTTCCCCTTATTTATTCTGTGCTCTCCGATCTACAAAATTTACTCATTGGTATTTATTGCTATTTATGGATACTCCTAATCCTTTCACCTCCCTCAAAGCAGGGATCTGGATGGCATAGGATATAACATCACCACTAAATAAAAATGTATAAAAAATAAGGTTAAAAAATAAAGTACTCTTAAAAAGTTTGAAATTCTTCAATGATGACAATTCAACATGCAAAAGGGAAGGAATATATTCCTCTCCTTCCCATCAGTCCTATGAGCTTCCTTCTCTTTCCACGGTCCAAAGTTTCCCCTACCCAGAAAAAACAGGATCCAAAAAGATCTGGACAGACTTGAACAAGGGACCCTGTCCAAGAAAATGAAATTTAATGTGGAGAAAAGCAAAGTTTTACACTTCGGCAGGAAAAAGCCAAAAGTTCAAATACAGATTAGGCGAAATCTGGCTCAAAATCAAGGGGATCCCAATGGGGAGCCTCACACTGGAGGTAGTTGTTGAATTAAGGGGCAATCCCCCCTCCCCCCTCACACATCCTGTTCCTCCCCCTCTTTTAACTATAATTTTATCTTGATTGGGAATTCCATTTTTATTGCTATAGAAATATTTATCTGTTAGGATTTTAATGCTTTAATGCTGTAAGCTGCCTAGAGTCATTTTATGATGAGATGGTGGCAAATAAATTTAATAAATAAATATATCTTCTGGTATTACACTAATTTTTAAAATTGTGATTTTATTTTGAATTAGATCCCTACAGTTATCTGAAACATGCTCTGTGTATCTTCCCCATCTTCTGCATCTCTTTCCGTCTCCCACACATCTGGCAGGAAATTCCTTCTGTCTCGGGGCTTTTCCAGCATTTATTCCTGTTGAATTTGTGCAATTTGATGATGGAAACTGATCCCAACCAGGAAGGATTTACATTTTTCCTTTTTTCAGGATCCCTTTTAATTTCTTGCTGCAATTTGCTTTGGAAATGACTTAAAACAAATAATATTTTCAGGAGTGAAAAGGGATCTTGGCCTGAACTAACCAACTTGGACTCCCGTTCTGGCCCCTCCTGTGTCTCCCCCCCCCCCGTGTCCCTCCTCCCCCTCCTCCCCTCCAGCTAAGCCCACCATCTCCATCTCCTCCACCAAGCTGGATCCTGCTTCCCCCCACACCATCCTCCTCTGCACCGCCAGGGGCTTCTACCCCGTGGAGATCGAGGTCCGGTGGCTGAAGAACGGGCGGCCGGAGGAGGAGGGCGTGGCCTTCGGGGAGGAGCTCCAGAACGGAGACTGGACCTACCAGCTCCAGGTGATGCTGGAGACCCAGCCCCAGTGGGGGGACGTCTACGCCTGCCAGTTGGAGCATGCCAGCCTGGAGGCCCCCATCACCGTCCAATGGGGTGAGCCCCCTCCCTCCCCTACTGGTCTGGGGACCCCATCCTGCCCTGAGAAGCGGTGAGGGACCCTCCCTGTGGGGGGAGCTGGGATGGACCCTCCTGGGGGGGGGGAAGCTGTCCCTGATCCTCCTACTCAGGGGAGGCTCCTTCTCCTTCCCCAGAGCCCCGATCCTCCAATTCTGCCAGGAGCAAACTCTGGACGGGGATTGTGGCAGCCGTGATCGGGGTGATCTTCTTTGCCATGGGGCTCTCCCTCTACCTGAAGAGCAAGAAAGGTGAGTCTGGGGGGCTGGATGAGAGGTTGTGGGGAGGGGACCATCCAGGGGAGGCCTCTCAGCAAGCTTAGCAGATGGCAAGGAGGCTCCCCTGGGAAATTTGCTTGGGAAATTCTGTTCTTTGAGAGTCAACTGTATAAGTGAGCATCCTGCAACCTATTATGGGCTATTGATGGGGAGGGGGACCCCCTGAGTCCTCCAGCCCTGAAGGGTTCTGATTGGCTCTTTTTCTCCTTCCAGCCACTCCCATCCAGCCTCCTGCAGGTGAGTTTCTCCTCAAGTTATAGATGTTTCTTTAACATTCCTTAATTGTTCCTTTAAAAATAAATGTGCCTGAACAAAACCTCCTAGCTGTGGATAACACAAATTTTTGTAATTTTGGGCAGCTTTTCTTTACAGAGACCTGAAAATACATTGCAATCAAAAACAAACACACACACAAACATTAACATGTGGCCCAAGATGTTTCCAGGTTTTGGGAAATTGCAAAAAGGAAGTGAAGTCTCCTTGTGACATTTGTCACAATTTCTGGCCAAGTGACACCCGGCTTTGCTGCCATCCCTCATTAAACTTTGCTGCCATCCCTCATTAACCCCCTAATTAAATCATTTGGGGAACATTCCATAAGTCCCGGGAGATGAATCCCTGGTCCTTTGCATCCTTTTCCTCCCTGAAAATCCCTGGGGGGATTCTCCCTCATTCTGCTCCTGCCTATCAACCACCCCCCTGCAATGTAGGCCTGTCTGGGGGGGGGGGCTGAAAAAGAGGAATAATGTTATTTACACTGAAGGTTTCACTTTGTATTCTCATTTTCTAATTTTCTCCCCATCTCTTTTTTTCTACAGCACTCATGAATTAATCCTTCCTGCTTCCTGATGGGAAAGGATTTTTTTTTTTTTAGTGGCTGATGAATTTGTGGCTTTTTCACAACCTCTGAAAAATGGAGGCTCAAGATTTTAGATCCGGGAGAGGAGGAGAACGGCAGCCTGGAGCTTCTCCTGCTGAGATTTTCCCCCCCACCTTTCCTTTCAGGCCTCCCTTTATTGTGAGGGAGGGATGGAGACCATCTAGACTGACCCCAGGGACTCTGGGCCTGTCTGTCAGTCCAGAACCCCAAATCTCTCCCCCCTTTGAATCCACAGCAGCTTCATCCCCATTAGTCTTCCTATGAATCATTTCCCTTCACTTTGCTATAAAAGAATAAAAATTATATTGTAGGAAAAATCCTGGAATTCATCCTTCCTTCTTTCCTCTTCCTCCTCCTCTTTCCTGCCCCCCCAGGGAGTCCTCCTCCCCTCCCCCTCCCCGTATTGAGGCCTCCTCTACCTCCGGATTGACCATCCAGACTAGTTTAGCTTTAAAGCCAGAAGCGGTCCAGGAGCAGGGTGGGCAGATCCCAGGGAGGGGAAGGGGCAGGACGCCTCCCTCCTCCTCAATCTCTCCAAGCCCTGCCAGGTGGAGGGGACCCCTGGGAGACCCCCTATTCCTGCTTCCCCTGGAGAGCCTCTTCCGTGGCTGGGAAGCTGCTGGAGCTGGAGGTTCTCCTGGCTTCATCCGGGGCCTCTTTCTCCAGGATCGGAGCCGGTTTGAGCCCCTCACAAGCCAGGGAGGCCCCTGCCCCATTCGCACCCAGCGCCCCCCTCCCTCCCTCCCTCTTCGGGGCCCTGATCCCCTCGGCTCCCCCCTCCTCCACACTATCTCCCCCCCCACGTCCATCTCCCCCCTCCAAAAGGTGCCAGGGCTCTGGGGGAAGGGCGAGAGCAGGGCGGCCTCCCGGGGGATGGAAGGGAGACTTGCCTCCCTGCAGCGCTAGATCGTCTTCGCTTGGTCTGCCGGTGGGTGAAGTCACAAAGGACTCTGCCCGGAGACCGATGACGCTGCAGGAGGGAGACTTCTCATTGGTTCTTCTCCTTCAGGGCATTTCCAGTTCTGAAGTCGGAGGAAAATGCCTCCTCCGCCCCCACTCCAGACCCCTCCCCCCGATTCCGCCTCTGGGGCTAGGGGCGTCTCTGGGCTCTGCCGGGGTCTCCCTGCTTCTGGGGGGGCGCTGGGCCAGTTCTCTGGAAGCGAAAACCCCGGTAAGGAGGATGGGGGGAGGGGGCATTTTTCTGGGACTTCGTAATTGGGAGGGCTCAGAAAAGCGGACGTACCAATGAAAACCCTCTCTTCTGTAGCGTCATCAGTCTCCGGGCAGAGTCTCCCTTGACTTCGCCCGATAGAGGAGATAGTTCGGAGCAGAGCGAGAAGCTGGGCAAGTGGCAGGGGGGATCTTTTGAGTGTGGGGTGGGGTGGGGCTGAAGCTTCAGGGGGGGGAGTGTTTCATGCCAGCTCCGCAGTGGAGTGCGCACTTCTTTTGGGGCCCCGCCCCCGCATGATTTTCAACCAGTCTTCCTTTCTTGGGTCTGGCCAGTCTAAAAAGAAGAAGAAATAGGGGAGACATGATAGCAGCATTCCAGTATTTGAGAGACTGCCACAAGGAAGAGGGGGTGAGGTCAAATTATTCTCCAAAGCACCAGAGGGCAGGCAAGAAACAACGGTTAGAAACTGATCAAAGAGAAAAGCAACATGGAACTAAGGATAAACTTCCGGACAGTGAGGACAATTAGCCAGTGGAACAGCCTGCCTCCAGAAATTGTGGGCACTCCATCACTGGAGGTTTTTAAGAGGAGACTAGACAGTCGCTTGTCTGAAATGGTATAGGTTCTCCTGCTCGAGCAAGAGGCTGGACTAGAAGACCTCCAAGGTCCCTTCCAATTCTATCCTATCCTATCCTATCCTATCCTATCCTATCCTATCCTATCCTATTCTATTCTATTCTATTCTATTCTTACAGTATTTTCTTTTGACATCTTTAGTAAAGTTGATTTTCATTTCAATCCAGGAGTTGACCCATGCCCTTCTTGTACCTGCCTCAGCTTGTTTGAGCTACTGACTTCCCAAACCAGACCAGGATGAATTTGATCTTCAATCCTCTTCAGTCCAATTCACTTGAATACCTATATGCCAAACCTGTCATGAAGTTACAGGCTATAAATAAATGTCTGCTACTGGAAATTCCTCACCAGAAGTCAGAGTCTGTTCAGCACTTCGGCCCAGAGAAGCTGTAACTGGAGGCTGTGAGAGAGGAAGCCATGAAGAAGATGGAACTTGATCTGAAGCTGAAATGAAGGGAGATTGCTGAGAAAGAACACCTCAGGAGAAAGAGAAGGAACACCAAAACCGGTGAGAGAGTTGCAATACCATGTCATCTTCACTTACTCTCTTCTCTCCAGTAGAACCCATAACCCGGGGGAAAGGAAATACCAATTCATAAAGAACCATGAAAGAGATGAGGTTCAGACCTCACTAATTATCTTTGAAGATACCTGCCAAGCTTACACCACTATAAAGCCCAGGAAATGACTCATATATCTCCTGTCTTGAAGAGTTGCTTAAGTCAAATATTGGTTGACATGTGTGCTGAGAAAAAGGAGGAAAACCAATAGTTTAAAAATATAATATTTGTTTGTTTGTTTGTTTATTTATTT